GGGGTTCTACGTTGAGGGCTTTGAGTTCACGTGAACCCATATTCCTATCCATAAATCATGTATAACAATATTATATTTCTTTAAAATTACTTAAATATATGTGCGTGAACCCATGCTCAAAGACTTTTATGGTGCAATAATTATTAGGTGCACCTCTATAAGTGAAATTGGCGGTTCAAATCTAGAGCCGTCAATATGGGCTTGGCCCGTTGGGCCAGCCCATAATTTGCAGGGCTGGGCTAGAATTTCTTTAGCCCGTTTAAAAATGAGGCTTTTAAGCCCGGCCTGAGTAAGCCTGTCGCCCGTGAGGCTTGCCTGGGGCTGGGCCGGCCTGGCCCGTGGGCTTAATAAAATATTTATTTAAAATATATAAAGAATAAAAGTATACTGTCTTTAGAGATGGAAAAGTGAGAATTGGATATTTACTAAGAGGAACCAAAACTTGATCTTGAGAAGTTTCAAGATATGATGTTGTGATCATGTATTGCAATGACCATTCTATTCCCGATCTTTCAATGATGGTGCGTGAAGTACTTAGCATTCTTATTACCATTGTATCATTGGAATCAACATTTAGCATTGGTGGTGTGTTCTTACAAAGTACAGAAGTTACATTTATTATGAAAATGTCCAAATACTCGTTACTACTTGAAATTGGCTGCACAGGTTTTTCCAAACTCAAACTGGTAATATTTTTTTATGAGAATTTAAATATTATTAATATTTAAAATTTAATTATTTTTAATATTTAACTAATTAATATTGCATATGAATTGTAGATGAAAGTGAAGATGTTAAGATAACCTTGTCACAAACGGATTAAAATGTGTTTGATGAAGATGATGTGTTGGATATCTCATAAGCATCATGGACGTTCTCTTGAATAGTTTGTTTTAAGTTTTGACTTTTAGTGAATGAAATATAGTCATGTCTTTTAATTTTTTTAGTATTGATTGTGATATATTGGAATAATATAAAAAGTTATTAAGTTTTGCGAATTTTTTCCAATAAGATATTTTTTAACTTTTAAATAATTATCTTTTTTAAGTCAAAACTTAAAGAAAAAATATAAAATTATATTTTTAAAAATGATGGGCGGCCCCGTAGGGGCCTGCGGCCCACATAGGACTGCGGTGGGCTGACCATTATAAGGCCCATCAAAATGGTGGGCTAGCCTAGCCAAACCCGTCAATTGCTAAAGCCCACGTGGGTCGGGCTGGGCTAGTCCGGCCCGGCCCATATTGACATTTCTATTCAAATTCTACTCTAACGGTCTTGATTTTGGCACGAAATATAGTTATATATGTGAAAATTACTAAAAATTCAAAAAGAATAGAATTTTGAACCTATAATTTCAAAAGTGTAGTGGGTTCATGGTAAGAGAATAAAGTTAAACCCGTCAAATATAAATTCTGGGTTCATTTCTTCATAACAGTGTACCCATCCTCTTGAAATCCTGGATTCACCTCTAGAAGGAGGGGTAACTAGGACAGTTAAAAACCGAAACCGTTAACCGAACCGAACCGATGACTTATTGGTTTATTGTTATCGGATTATCAGGGTAATGGATTGAAATTTTATAATAAACAACTTAACGGTTTTGCGGGCGGATTACTCAATTTTATTACTGGGATAAAGAATTTTTATAGTTATACATTCATCCTTATGTATATAAAGTACTATTGAAAGCAATTTGTTCAATTGTCCGCTGGTTATCCGTAATAGCTAGATTGTCTGATTTTATGTTCTTTTTGCACATGCATCTTACAAATTAAAGTCCGATTTTTTTGAATTTTTGGTTTTACAATCTGAATTTCTTGTGAAGAATGAATGTTACTGAAAGTTTGATTGATTCACTAGCGTATGAGTAGTCTTGAATATGAACTAAATTGGAACATGGAAGAAGACTCTTCAATTCAAAAATACTGTTAGATCTTAAGATGGTATTAAAAAATTTGTATTGATTTGAAACCATTTGGTATTTGATTAAATGATTGTTCAAAAAAAATTTATTTGGTTTAGCCGATAAATCGCTCGATAATTTTTCGATAATTATTAATCTGATAGCAATTTGCCTGTTATCTTACTGGATAGCTAGCAGATTACTATATTTATTATCCGATAAGCCGAACTGTTAAGTGTAATTATCCACCCGATAAGCACCCTAAGGTAAACAAAGAACTTTGTAAAGACTTTAATTCAGTTTTGATTTTAACCAAATAAGAAAATTAAAATGAGAAGCGATTGTCATAATGACGTAAGCGTGAAATCATCAAAATTACAAAAATCCCAAAAATAAGTAATATGACCCCACTTGAAACTTCTATTTTACAGACCAAATCAGATGTATATAATTCGTCATCAATACACACGATTCCTTAATAAGTTACCTATAAATAGCAGAGCAGATTCAAAAGAAACATAACACAACATAAATTTACACAAAATATATTCAATTCAAACAACATCAAAATCCTCAAAAATCATGTCTAAATCCTCTGTTTTCAGTAGACCAAGATTGGTTGTCAAGAAAATCTTGGCCAGAGCTCAAAATGAAGGTGATGGTGCTGTTGTTAGGAGAAGTATTGGAAGGTATTTTTGGAAATTTGTTTCCTTTTTTTCTTAATTCTTTTTTATAACTGAGAAATTCCACCGAATCCGGGAAAGAATCGGACCACAAGAGTCTATTGTATGCAGTTTTATCGTGCGTTTTTTCAAGAGTCTCTTTTCACGGCTTGAACTCGTGAAGGTCACATGGCAGTAACTTTACCAGTTATATCAAACCTTTTTCGGGGCTTTTCTTAATTTTTATTTTGGGGAAAGTGGTGAAAATGAATATTTTCCTACTTGTGTTTCCACCTTTCCCAAAATTCATTCCTTTTATTTTGAATTATAGATGTCTTAAAATCTTGATAACTTGTTTTGCATTCAGAGTTAGTGTATTGAAGTATATTAAAATTCATGTCTATGATTTAGTGGGCGTTTGGACATTAGAATTGTAAAATTCCAAAAAAAAAGTGGAAAAAAATTTCAAGTAAAATGGTATTTGAAAATTAGAGTTGTGTTTTGCCATGAATATAATTTTGGGTTGTTTTTGAAGTTTTGTGAGTGATTTAAGTGAAAATTTTGAAAAACACCTTTTTGGAGTTTTTCAAATTTTCGAAAAATTTCAAAATTCATGAAAATAAAAACTTTTATGACCAAATACTGATTTAAAAAAAAAAGTGAAAATTTTTCGAAAAAAGTGATAAATTCTTATGTCCAAACGGGCTCTTAATTACCATTAGAACTGGAGATGTTTTTAATCTATTTGAGTGCTGTTTTTTGTTATAGTAATTGTTTGAAAATTTTGAATTGCAGGCCTGAATTGCAGAATCTTGATCCATTCCTCATGTTAGATGAGTTTAGTGGTAATGCTACAGCAGTAAAAATATTCTTTATTTTATTTTATTTTATTATTCTACTTTATGAAATGAATTTTATTTTTACTAATTAAAAACCTATATATTATTATTCTTGCAGTTTCACCACCTGCTGGATTTCCTGACCACCCGCACAGAGGTTTTGAGACTGTTACTTACATGTTACAGGTAAACTTCAGTTTTGTTACTCAATTCCAAACATTATACAGTAATAATTTATGTGATCGGGAGGTTACGGGTTCGAGCCGTGGAAACAATCTCTTGCAGAAATACGGGGTAACGCTACGTATAATAGACCATTGTGGTCCGAACCCCACACATAGCGGGAGTTTTGTGCATCAGGCTGCCTTTTTATACGGTAGTAATATTTTGGAGCTAATTTTATGCTTTCTGTATTAGGGAGCTTTTACTCATCAAGATTTTGCTGGTCACAAGGGTACAATCAGGACGGGTGATGTGCAGGTAATGTTTATTCTCGAGATTTACCTATAATTACCTTATATATGACCTGATTGTGCTTAAAAAAAATTTACACTATCACTGCATAGAACCAATTAGACTCAAAATAAAAAAAATAAAAAAAGAAAGGAACAGAGTGCGCGTTAAGGTAGAAAGTTTTTTTTTTTTTTTTTAATAATAATTTTCCATTTTGGTTCAATGCAGTGGATGACAGCAGGTAGAGGTATAGTACACTCAGAAATGCCTGCAGGTCCAGGTGCTCATAAGGGGTTGCAACTATGGATAAATCTGGCATCCAAGGACAAGATGTAAGTTAGTAATCTTACATTAAACAATAGTATTAAGTTTCAGAATAATCTTTTTCATTTTAACATATGCCTATAACATGCAATTTGATTAAAGAAGGGGAGCCTTGACGTAACTGGTAAAGTTATTGCCATATGACCGGGAGGTCACGAGTTCGGGCCGTGGAAATAGCTTCTTGCAGCAATACAGGATAAGGTTGTTTACATTAGACCCTTGTGGTCCGGCCTTCTAGGAATCACGTGCATATCAGGAGCTTAGTGCATCGAGCTATCCTTTATGCAATTTGATCAAAATTCGTAAAATTGTTGCATAACTTTGGTTATACTGTGGTTATAGACACAGCAACTCATCCTTATAAACAAAAATAATGGAATAGTAACTAAAGTAATCTCAAAATACATAGTGAAATGTACATTTGGTTGATTGATTATGTCTACTTTTCTGAAATGAAAAGAATGACCCTTTTATCTATGTATAGGATTGAGCCAAGGTATCAAGAACTGCTACATGAGAACATACCAAAGGCAGAAAAAGATGGCGTTTTCGTCACAATCATAGCAGGGGAATCCATGGGCATAAAATCTCAGGTTTTCACACGAACGCCTACAATGTACCTTGATTTCACCCTAAAACCAGCTTCTGAACACCATCAACCAATCCCCGAGTCCTGGAATTCCTTCGTCTACATAATGGAAGGAGAAGGCGTCTTTGGCTCTTCGGATTCAACGCCTACACCAGCTCACCATTGCTTAGTTTTAGGCCCTGGAGAAGGTCTAAGTGTGTGGAACAAATCTTCTAAGCCATTGAGGTTTGCTTTGATAGGTGGACAGCCGATTAACGAGCCTGTCGCGCAATATGGTCCTTTTGTTATGAACACCAAGAGTGAGATAATGCAGGCTTATCAAGATTATCAACTTGGAAAAAATGGTTTTGAAAGGGCAAGGCACTGGAATTCTAAATAAGTATACAGAGCTACATTTTATAGTTCAAAAATAAGCTTACAAACAGCAATATTCTATAGTTTTCTGATAAATGTTATGGATTTCAACTCTTTATAGTCTTCTTTTGATTTTGAAATATGATGTATTTTTATTGAAGTTTATTTTTCATTTCCTTCATTTGTTCAAGATTGTATTGATAGTAATTCTTGTAGCCATAGTGGAAAGTATGTTAAGTTCTTGAATGATAAATTATCTTTTGTTTGGATCATGGATAGGAAATGTAATGACAATATATTTATCTTATTTATAGTGAGTGGTTTTACTACTATATTTTCCTTTCTTACTGCTTTGATTATGCATGCCGTGAGCCGAGAGTCTACTGGAACAAGATTCTTTACCTAATTTCGGTCAGAGGCGGAGTCAGAATTTGAAGCTTGTGGATTTGGTATTGTAATCATTTTAAGTTATTGTGTTCTAAATTAATAATTTGTTTATATTCAGTGAATTTCTTTAAACAAATATAGAGTTTAAACAAAAGTTATTGGGTTCGGTTGAACCACATTTCACACTCTTGCTCCGCCCCTCCTTCCGATAGGGGTTGCGTACATCCTATCCTCCCCAAATTCCGCTTGTGGAAATACATGTTATTGTTGTATTTACCGTGAGGGGATGTCATTGAAAACATGGTGCATGTTGTTTTCACAATCATTTCTCGATTATTGAGTACATGTGGTATTATAATTGTAATTAATTTAATTTTTTTTTAACAATGAAATGCTGTTAGCTTGTAAATCCACTTTCCATCACATAAGTGGAAGGTACAAATTTCACCATATTATATCTCTTTATAGTCCACCTTTCTTTAGGTTAGTTTCAGTAGCATTTGACAGATTGAGACAAATCACCACAAAATTAATAGTACAATTATAATTTATCCGGTGCAAAGTATAAACGATGTCGCATTAATCCCAAAAAAATATTGTTTTACAAACTATATATGTTTTTTTTGGGTATTTTTTTAAAAAAAAATTGACTCAAGAACTAATTTCGTGTGATTTATATTAGCTTGGAGTTTCCTAAAAAAAAGAATTTATATTCAAATTCGCATAAGAATTAAACACATTAATCTTCCTAATTCGGATAAGTCATTTTATATTTTGGGAAAAAGAAAGTATCTAATTTAGAATTATGTAATTAAATTCAATTAACCACTAGTCTTGCAAAAATATCCCGTTTAAGATAATAGAAGCACATTCTTCTTCTTTGAAAGAAGAATAATACAATTATAATAAACCTCTTTCTTTATTAAAATATCTCCCATTTATGAAATTATTCAGGAAAAGGACAAATAATAAAATCCAGAAAAACACTTCTTGCATATTCTCTGTACCTATTTTTGCCAGCTTTGTCATCACTTTGCACCAAACAACCAATAATTTTAACATTACTTATTGAAAATTGTAATTTATAATATCTTTATGTAATTTCCAAATGTGTATTTATTTTTTATAAAAGTTAAAGTTCATGAATAAATATTTAACTTAATCTTTACACCAACCAATAAAAATAATATTAGCATTTAAAAATTAAAAGTGATATTATATTAACATATCACTTAACTATAAATAAGTGATGTATGTGTTTATGAAAGATACTGCATTTATTTTGCTTTGGATAAGTTGATGTAAACGTTGAGGGCGATAACTTTAAAAAAAGGAATTTTTAAGTTTAAGTGGGCGTTTGGACATAAGAAGTGTAAATTTTCAAAAAAATGTGTTAATGAAAGATACTCCGTTTATTTTGCTTTGGTTTAATTGTTGATATTTACCTTTGGTCTCACTGACAGAATCTGTCCGAAATTAATTACGGGGTTAGTTTCGGTATTCATCATCTTTTTAATTTGCTTATTGAATATTTTATAAACCAACACTCACTATTAGTACAAAGCTGATAAATTTAAGATTTTAACGTTGAGACTTTTACTTTTAACAATATCGGTTAATTTTTCCAAAAAGAAAAGTTAAAATTTGAAAAAGAAATAGAGCTGCCAAGGTCACTTCTAGGCATATTATTGAAGCAAACAAATAACTAAATTGTATTATCACTTTTAGCCCGCGCCAGAAACTATTTATCTAGTAGGCGAATATATATATATACAAAATAATATTTTATATAGTTTCGGCTATTATTTTTACAGTGGTTATATAGTGTCATTTTCTCATTAAAAACTGGCATAGACGGGGTTATTTTTAAGGTCAAAATTTTAGAAGACATTATCTAAAAATTAGGAATCAAAGTGATAATTTGCATTATCCAATCAAAGGAGGGGAGACGTTTTGCTTCAGAGCAAAAGATTTGCTTCATGAATTAGAGTTGGTTAACACTATTAGTTTTTGAACATATTCTATCACTGAGACTAAAGGTGCTCCGCTTTATCATATTTAAGGAACTAAATATGCTCAGGGTTATATTTGAGGAACCAAAATAGACCTGCCTTCAAAGATAAGGTACAATATTGGTCAAAAGCTTAGTAAATTTGACTTCGGTGTACGGGTGGAAGATATGGGAATCTTACACAAATGTCTCAACTAAGTCTCAATTTGAGACATATAAAAAATAAAAATCCAAATAAATAAGGTTCTTTCTCAGATTTACACGCAAGGATCTCCTTCCATATTTTTAAGTGTGGTCAACAACATTAGATGCAAAACGGAAAGAAAATTTTATGGATGAGATAACAAATAAGGTGATGAAATACAAATAAATATAGATACAACATTCTTAAAATCTAAGCAAAAAGGGTTCTTATTCAATGGGTATGATTGAAATTCATTGAAAACGTATAGATGAGTCCAATATATAAAATTTGAGGAATATTGGAGGTGATTTTGACTGATTTGGTATCAAAATTTGCAGTTAAAATCGAGTTCAAGAAATTCTTCTACGATACATGTATCATGTATGTATCTCACACACAGGTATACATGGATATACATATGATATACTTTTGATATAATTATGATACATATGTGATACACGTATCATTTTTTTCATGTTCATCCTCCACTTCGAATTTTCAATTCAAACCATCTTAAAACTCCACCAAAATTATCCCGAAATTGAGATTCAAGCTCCTTAAGATATACTCAATTTATTCTCTTAACACCCGTAAATAAAAAAAGCAAAAATTTAATATTTTTGGATACAAATAGATAATTGGCTAATATTAGTAATATTTTATGAATTGGCCAGTTTTTTTAATGAGCTACTTATAAATGGACATAACGAGTAGTTTCTCAAAATATATTAGTTTAATTTTTTTATATGTGAATTTTTGATAATTTGCCTTTAGTTAAAAGTCTCTCGTGGTAGAATACAATTTCTGAACATCTAATGCAATTGTCTGAAAAAGAATGATAATAACAACAACAAACTTAGTGGACTCCTCCAAGTGAGATCTGAGGAAGGTAGGATGTATGCAGCCTTACTTTTATCAAGGTGGGCAGAGATAATATTTCCGATAGACCATCGATCTGTAAATATAAATTATAATTCTACCAGGATCTTGAACATGATAATCTTACATGTAATCGTCATAGAAAACATACCTGAAGCGGAATCCATTATCTTGAAGCGGAAGCGTTAATCGGTAAATTGGTCTCTCGCCTCTTTCCCTAGCTTTCGTTACCGCCGCCTTTAGTGATGGAAGAACGAAAATAAAATACGGTAACTCTAATGGGTGGGGAGAGGACCAATTTATAGAGGTTCTCACTAAATCTGGTACGTCCATCAAGTAACCAATCGGACAGATGAGATTTGATAATTAATTAAATATTAATTATGGGCCTTAACCTATTGGGCCACATATACGTAAGAAAAATAACTTAAATTCTCCCACATGGCCCAATAATCACATAATATTAATATTTAATATAGGAACATTAGTTGCGCATAAATAAATCTCTAAAATATTATGGTCCACAATAATGTCTCATTGAGACTTATCCTGTAATATCTCAAAACAATAATTTGTACACCATTATGAGAAACAAAAAATCACTAATGTATATCAGAAACACATAAATGAGCTCAGAGTGTCAAAACATCATAAATACATCAATCATAAATGCAGCCTAGACCCATTCTATGTACATGTTCTTTAAATATCTTTGGCAGTAAACCTTTAGTTAACGGATATGCAATCATGAGATCTGTTCTAATATGCTCAAGTGACACTCTTTGTTTCTGAAATTCCTCCTTGACGGTAAAGTACTTTAGTTCCATATGTTTGGCACCTTTGGAGTACTTATCGTTCTTGGAGAAGAATACTACTGCAGAATTATCACAATAAATTTTCAGCGGCTTGGTAATGGTGTCGACAAACCCAAGTCCCGAAATAAAGTTTCGCAACCATAATGCATGAGTTGTGGCCTCAAAACATGCCACAAATTCTGTTTCCATCGTGGATGTAGCAATGACAGACTGTTTGGCACTCTTCCACAATATTGCTCCTTCAGCTAATTGGAACAAATAACCAAACCTGGATTTTCTAGTGTCAATACATCCAGCGAAATCTGAATCCGAGTATCCAATAACTTCCAAATGCTTGGACCTCCTATACATGGACATGTAATCCTTCGTTCCTTTCAGGTACCTCAAAACTTTCTTTGCAGCTTTTCAATGATCAATTCCTGGGTTACTCTAATATCTTCCCAACATTCCGACCACAAAATTAATATCCAATCTTGTGCAAGTCTGAGCATACATCAGATTACCAACAATAGAAGAGTAAGGAATTGATTCCATTTCTTTTTGCTCTACATTGATTCTTAGGGCATTGCATGAGATTAAATTTGCCCCCTTTTTGAATTGGAACAATTCCTGTTGAACAATTGTTCATATTAAATCTCTCTAGAATTCTTTCGATATAGCATTTCAGAGACAATCCCAATAATCTTTGTGATCTATCACGGAATATTTCTATTCCTATCAAATAGGATGCCTCACCCATATCTTTCATTTCAAAATTCTTAGAGAGAAAATCTTTAGTATCACACAATATGCCTAAATCATTAGTAGCAAGTAGAATATCATCAACATATAGAACTAAAAATATAAACTTGCTCCCACTGATCTTTTAGTATATACACCAATCAACTTTTTTTTCCACAAATCCAAAAGATTTTTTGGTATCATTAAATTTTATATACCATTGTCGTGATGCTTGTTTAAGTCCATATATTGACTTCTTCAATTTACACACCATTTAACCTTTTTCTTTAGTTTTGAAACACTCTGGTTGGTCCATA